CCTTTCTTGTAATAATTGCTCCTTTGATATATGTAATTAGTCACAAATGGATTTGTATCACTCCCTCACGTGTTTACACTCGTAAAGGTATAGTCACTCGTGGTTACACGCAAAAACATCACTCTCAAGAAACTCACAATCTCATTCACATAAGCCAATGAGCAAAGTTTGCAGCTCAAGTGGTTAGACATAACACACAAAGAAACACTCAAATAACTTGACTATGGAGTAAATTCAAAACTCAAATTAGAAACAAGCTAAATAAGAAAGTGACAGAATTGGAACATGATAATTAWGATGGAACAAGAAGTTCAAAAGACCAGAAAATGTAACTCTTGAACAATTAGGCTATTTTGAGAATTTATGRAGTTTAATTTAGCCTTGWCAACAGATATGAGTTACWCAAGAAAAACATCATGAGAATTGAAAAACAAATTGCTGGAAATTAATTGAGACAATTGTAACCGCCAAAAATTTAATGAGTAACGGTTAGTTGTGGAAATAAATCAAAACACAATTGATATGATTTATTACCAACAGCTAGATTAACAAAAATAGGCAATTTCAACAGCACAACTCAGATCTAGCATGATTTGGAAGTAAAAATGAAAAGAACAAAGAATAACACATGCTCTCGGGTATAGCAGTTTTCCAGARTAGAATGTCAATTTTCGAAGTTTTCACCCAGAAGCAAATTGAATCACAAGATATGAAGTAAGACAAAGTTGTAGATAAGACAAAGATCTACAAACTCATAGAAGACAACAAGACGAAAAGAAGAATGAAAATGACACTTTTTTGTATTTTATATACGTGGACAGAATGTAACGAGATGAACAATAAGAACAAAAATTTCAAAACAAAGAACAAGAAGAGCAATACGAAAACGGAAACATATATCCGATCTAGAGCCTAGGGCTCTAATACCAAATGATAAGAAAACAATAGCCAATTGGATCTAAGAACCCTTATGGTTATGCAAACCCCTAGATCACAAATACTAAATCCCCCAAATCGAGATGATGTCAACCCAAGGAAGAAGTTAGAACGGATTTACCTTGATGATCAATATCAAGAGTAGAGAAAACTTGTTTCTAAACTCAAGATTCGAACCACTCCACAAATAGCTTGATCAAGACTACTTGAATGATTCTAKCATGCAAATCTAACACTCAAGAATTGCAAAGAAAAACAAGCTCTAGGCTTTTTGAAGCAAAATATCAACTTTATTCAATCATCAAAATCTGTTTTTCCAAGGGAACAAGCTAGGCTATTTATAGCCTCCAAAACAA